GGTAAGACCCGTTCTCGGTTCATCCTTTTCTTCGGATGGGTCGGCTTATCTCCTCCAAGATCTGTCTTAGAACTTGTTACTTTGTTTGTTCTAAGTCATGCCTCAAACTTATCGACTTGCTTTACTTTAGGTCTCCTCAGATTCGAATAGTTCTCGGCTAACTCGTCTTCCTCTTCGAATGGTCTACTTATCTCGTCCAAGATCTATTGTCACTTCGTTTGTCCTGGGCCTCGCCTCAGAACCTGTCGACTTGCTTTACCCAAGAAAATTGTGGTCTGCCTCCAAAACCTATGTCGATTCGTCTCTCTTGAGATCTCCTTGGATCTGAGCAATTCTTGGCCAATTTGTCGTCAATTATCTTGACTTTTAGATTTTTGTCGTCCCCGCAGACGACGCCAATTGTTGATGTAGAAATTTGGCTCCTTGGGATTTCTCTAAATTTGTACCAATCTTCTAGATGTGAAAGGAATCGACGTGACCTGCAAAACGAAATAACCCTAAGACCTGTGTGGCTCCTACCACACGGGCTCCGATGCTTAAATTAGTATCGAAATATTCGAGTGTAAAGAGTAGGGTATTTGGGCGTACCTCTAGGGTTTGGCTTACCCTTCTATTTATAGAAGCCTAATCCCTTTAGGAATTACCAAAGTTGAATCATGATCCCTCTATGAATTGTAGAATTCGAATCTTAATACATCTAGAAAATCTAGTTATCTTGGTCAACATATCTTGTTATGGACCTATCGTCCGATCAAGAGTCGAGACGCAATGGATTCGACATGCATCGCGGTCGAGTCGGGTCTTCAAGAGTTCTTGGTCGGGAGGTCAAGAACTCCTTGGCGTCGAGAAGGTCTCGATGTGGCCGAGAGGGCTGGCTTGGGTTGTCGACCACCGACCCTCTTTCTAGTTCGTGCCTTCTCTTGGCTCTCCCTCAGTCTCCTCTCGCTTCGTTGGATCTTCTCTTTCTCCCTATAACAAAAACGACAAAACTTGCCCTTGAAGCACTTCTTTGGGTCACCTCTCAATTTGCTTGGCCTTGTGAGCAAATTCTTCATGCCACTATCCTCAATGTTCGTGAGAATAATTGAGATTGGAATGGTGATTGGACTGTACCTCTCGTAAGATCAACCTCTACTAGTTCTGAAGTCGAAACGCCTATTGTCAGATCGACCTTGTGAGGAAAAAGGTGTGGGGCCCTTGTATCTTGACTTAAAGGGCGCATTATTCTTATTAGAACGGTTCAACTTCAGGTTCGATCTCTATTTTGTCTGATCGATGTTTGTTTTGAGCAATTGCTGCCCATTAATAACTTTCTTGGCCTTGTGAAGGACCTTGGTGAACGATTGAATGGGTTTTTCCCAAAACTTGACAGTTAAGGACGGGTTAGTAAGACCTGAGAGAAAGTATGACATGGCAAAGTTGTTAGAGTAGTGTGACAATTTGAGTTGTTCCTTCTTTAATATGGTCACATACTCTAGTCTCATTTCTTCTTTGGTAGATTGTGTCGAGGTGACACACTAGTTTCTTTAGGTAGTGCGTGAGGAAAATTGACTGATAAAAATCTTCTTCAGTAGGTTGTAGGTCAAAATTGACCTTGCAGGCAACTTCATGTATCATAGTCGAGCATTTCCAACTAGCGCGATTTGGAAAGCTCGGCATATGGCGTCAGTCAATCCTTGAAAGTCCATGAGCCCTTCAAAGACTTCCATATAATCCATCGGGTCGCTCAACTCGTCATTAGGGGTGATCATCGATTGGTCGGGGTTGGTTTTTAGCCAATCACGACGCTGAAAACCGCCTAGTCGGTTTCCCATCATGAAAACTTATTTCTATGTCATGTCATCTTGCGCTGACCGACCGACTAGTCAGTTTGATTGGTCAATTTCGTCGGGTTTAAAACAATCTTCTATTTGGTGGAGGATGCTAGTGTGGAAGCAAAGAAGAAGAAAAAAAGGGAGAAATCAGCGATAAAGGAAGAAGAGAAGAATGAAGAAGAATATAAGGGACAATGGGGTGGGGCGAGGTGAGAGATGAAATGAGAGAAAAAAAAAAGTGGGAATGAAAAGAGTAGAAAATAAATGGAATGGGATAAATGGAGAAGATAACAAAGAAAAAATAAAATAATGAAAAAAAGTTACCTTGAAAACTAGTTAATCAATGTCGTTGCAGTACAATTGCAGCAGCACGCCGCTTGGGTAGCCCGCATTTAATGTGGTCTGCCCCTTATTTTAATTTTTGTATAAATTAAACATAATTAGTCAATTGGGTCGGTCGGAAATCATTTTTCCGACCCAATTGACGGATCAAAAATCAATTTTGGAAATTAAAAACCAATTCCGATCGATTTTTCCATCAAACCAACCGATCAAAGTCGGTTCAATTGATTTTGCAAAGTTATTTGCTAACCCATGCTCGTCGTAAGCCTTCATAGTCGACGTCTGGAATTTGCTCGGGATAGGAGCATCCAAAGATTTCTTGTACAAATGGTGACTCACTAGACTCGCCATCATCGAGAGCATTATTAGAAATGCTTTCCTATTTGTGCTTCACTGCTTCGACTTGGATGAGAATTTGCTTTGCTAGAGGTTGAACTCTTCTCTTGTAATCCGACCATGTAGTTCTAGCTAGACTAAACTTGGATTGAGCCTTGTTGTCCATCTTGTTCCGAATGTCTTCTTGAGACATTGTTCCACTTACGCAATTGAGTGCTCACCACCTCCCGCCTTGTCATAGATATTTGCGTAGGTCACCATCTTGACGGCATATGTTATCGTCATGTCTTAGGTGAACTCAACGACCATGGCTTTCCCCCGGCAGGAGTTATTGTCCATGTCCTCTGACTAACATATGTGATTATTGTCACTATTTACTTTACTCTCAAGGAGAGGAGGATCTTCAATATTCCTAAGCTACCGACCTTGAGAGTCGATTGGACTCGACTTAGTAGTAAGAGTTGTTGTTCAATTATTTCATGGCCTGTAGACAGGCGCGCATTTCATCCAGCTCTACCTGCAGACTATAAGCACGCTTTATCTACCTAGAGGGTAATCTTCCCCCAACCTTCTTAGTATTCCCCCACATCCCCAGTTGAAGCATGCAAGCTGGCGAACTGAAACTAATGGAAGCTTAGTGCAAGAAAATATGCGTAGCTAATTTTCCACCGGTTGAATTAGTGTCGCATCGTTGGCTGCCTTGGAGGTCCTCTCGTTGCGGCACCAAGGTTGCTAGAATCGGTTGATATGGTGTGAGTCATAGCTTGATTTGGTAGGAATGACTTGAATGTCATTTCTTACCGACAGCGCCAATTGTTTGTGCAACAAATGTCGATCAAGGTCGACATGGTCAAGGTATACTAACTAGGACAGCTTAGATATTTGGAATGAATTGGGAGGCTGCTTAGCAAGGAAGGACCTATACCAAGGAACAAATACTTCGACGCTCAAATCAATTTAGTTATTTCTTAGTAAGGAGACCGAGCTAGAATGTGTACCCGATAAAGAGTGAAGTGCCCTATTTATAGGTTTGAATATTCGACTGGGAATCCGACTGACAGTTGGGGGTGTCAGGCTGAATGTTAGCCTGTCAAGCACGCACAATCTAGGTAGGAGACTTTCGTCCAGTTACAATGTCTTCTTGTCCAGTATCTAGCTAAGTGTTGTTGGTCGTTCCTATAGATGAATGAACATTAAGGATAAACCTGCTAGTCTGTCCACTCTTTGTCCTTCATGTGGCAATGTCAATAAACGACTCCAACATATGAAATCAAATTAGTAAAATAATTTTATCTCGGGGTTGAAAAGTTTAATTTATAAGGAAAGGTTAATCTTCCAGCCATATTCCATTCATAAAAATTTTATCGATAATATGTATAGTTTAAGAGGTGGGTATGTGTCCTTGTTTTGTAAATATATAAATATATAAGACGTATATGCATGAGCTAATAAACTAGAAGGTTTAAACGATCCTTTTTAAGTCAACTTTTTCCGTTCTGTAGTAATTATTTCGTTAAAAAATATATTTGTTCACTATACTTCCACTAAAATAACAATTTATACTCTTTTATAAAAAATAAAAAAAACAATTTATACCCTAAATTTAAACTTAGTATGTAATAAAAAAAATTTCTATAATTTAAATTTTATAACAATTTAGTCCCTACCGTGAAAAATATCATCAAAATTAAGGATCAATTTTCGTCATATATTAGTTTTTGTAATTTATAAACAAATTTGTCTCTTTATCAATCTACATATATACAAAACATAACAAAAAATTTTACAATGTGAACAAAATCGTTAAAAACTTAAATTATAAGGACTAAACTATTACATACTAAAATCTAAAAACTGAATTGTTAACAATACAAAAACTAAATCATTATAAACATTTAAGAACTAAATCCTTACTTTAACAGAAGTACAGAGACTAAATATATTTTTTGACCTAATTATTTTTATTATTTTTATTATTCTTATTTATTATTGACATGACATTAAAAATTTTAAAATAAATCATCTGTCTCCGCCTTTCCCAACCGGTTAAAACAAACAACATAATAAACATAAAGTATTTACAATTAAGACCCCTAACCATCCTGCATAAAAAATAGACGTCAGTCCATCATTGATGACAACCTGACCACATCGACTATGTTGTTTCGGTCTCCTAACGAAGTCATAATGTTATAGCATTTCGTAAAAGTAGTTTGTTAAAGAGTAGAGTCGAGTCTACAGGCTTGATACAACGAAGAAAACCACAAATGCATTTGAGACCGATCTTTTCAGTGGCCGTTTTCAAGGATGCAACACTTTTTCGGTCAAGTAAAGAAAATATAATAGATTCAAGAGAATTTCGAGATAAAAAAGGAGACCAAATCCAGTAGGAGGTTGAATAGGATTATATCTACTCTTATGTTCCCTGGAGACTAAACATTACATGTTCCAGATTGATGAAAAAATATCTTAATCGAACACGGCTCAAAGGATCACTACACAGATAAGTGTCTAATCAAAAACCAAATTGATTTTTTACCATCCATATTAGAAGTTCAACAACTCTACTGCAACCACAATTCTACTGCAACCTAAAATAAATAGGTGAACTTGAAGCACATAATACTAACATGACCTATTTTGTAATATTTATAGAAATGACTTTGAATTGAAGTTCCTGTTGTCAAAGCACTTGGAAACCTCAATTCAGATTGGAAGAGCAATAAATAGACTAGCCAAAAGACCCGTAAAACGGGTTCGCTATTCTTCTACAGATTCCATTATCAGATCAATCTGGAAACAGATCAGAGACACCAGCTGCATCAAAGACAAAATAACAGCCTAATCAATAGATTTAGACAAATATATACCGAGTCACTAGATCACGATGCAAGCAGCATCTAACCGCAAGCAGCACCTAAATGCATCGCCCTGCGTTCCATGTCTAAACAGGAATGGGACAAAAGCATCATATAACCGCAAAATCAGTATTAGCCAACCACTTTTCCCCTGGTCTATAAAACAAAGCAGCGCAAGAACTCGAGCTTCAGCTTTTAAACATGGAATACTTCTTGTTTTTTCTCGGCTATCATTTGGCCTTAGAATGACAATCTAACTCCTCAGTGCATAACAATAGTTAAGCCAGTACTTCACATAATTTCCCCATCTCCATGCATCTTCCTATCCCGTGTGTACAATGATAGTATCAAATAAGCCGAAAAAACTGCACTTTCGTTTGATTCCGGCACTGCTTCGGAGGTATACAGGGGAGGAAGGCATGATAAATACTTGCTGGAGATGCAATGGATGTCTCCCTTTATGACAATCATTTAAATAACTCTGGGAAAGACCACATTATGAATCTTGCAAAAAAGTCAGATTCTAAAAACTCGATGTGAGCCGCTCGTCCGATAATGGTGTTCAAATTTTTGCCATAAGCAGAGGTGTCAAAATTCACATCACAACGCATGAACACTCTTTGATCAAGGGAAGAGGCCCGTATTTGGTCCAGACAATCATTCAGCATATCCAGGAATAACTTCCCTTTTTTTGAGTTGTCCATTGCAGCTGCCTGGCACAATTCAATCCTGGCAGAATGATATGGAACATACCCATCCTGAAATATATGCAATGAATCAATAGGTATACCCCAAAAACGCCAATACAGAACCATAGTACAGAAGTCTGAGAGATGAACAAAAGGTATTACAAGAAGTGACACATTTAGTAAATAAATGAGTTATTATCTATGGCAGTAGTTCATTTAAAAACCATGCAAACACAGATATCACTTGAAAAAACTAAGAAAATATACCACAATTCATTTTTTTTTTCAAAAAATAAAATAAAAGGAATAATAATAAAATAAAACAAAGACAGGAAACGAAAGTGTGCTATCAAGTAACTAACACCCGTATGTTGTGTAGCCTCTACATGCAACTAAACTGTGCTACACATTTTCTTTTTATAAGAAACATTGAAACATCCATTATAAAAAGCCACCGAGGCAAAAACAGCCTAAAGAACCAAGAGACAAGGTGTCCCTTCTCCCAATGAGGGTGTTACATAAAAGCCCTGCAATCTAGACTGATAGCATATGTCGAATAGTTACAAAAGAACCTGCACTGAGCAGTGAACTGTTGAAGATCACAAAAATTACAACTAAGCTACCAAATGAGACTAGCACTTAATAAACAAGCTATACAGAAAATAAATTAAATTTAAAAATAAAAAAATAAAAATAACAAACAATGGTCATGAGAAAGAAAGCACACAAATGGCCCGATGGAGATATGCTTTTATAATTTCATACCAGCAATGAGATTGTTTCTTATATAAATAATAATAATAATAATAATTGGGAGATTACAGATAACAATTGGCTTAAAAGAGTACACACACACATCTAAGAAGCGTGGATACGGACATGAGACACGGATACGACATGACATGGAAACGGTAACACATTATTTTCTAAAAATCTAGGACACGGACACGACAAGAACACTTTTATTAAAATATACAATTTTTTTAGGAAGGAAATTCAAAGACAATAAGCTTTATGCATTTTTATGTATAAAAAATGAGTGATGTATTTTACTTTCAAAATTTATTATTTTGTCTTATACTACTATTTAGGTCTATTCTTATGCTTAACAAGTGTTTGATTTGTACCTAACAAGTGTCGAATCCATATTTACTTTTTACAACAAGTATGTGACACATGTCTATTGAGCTATCAAGTGTCTGATCCGTGTCTGATGAGTCTCGGAGTGTCTGAGTGTACAACACGAACACGATATCCAAAATGAAGTGTCCATGCTTCTTAGACACACATTAAATAAATTAAAAAAAGGAACCGACTGGGAACGGGACGTATGACAAGGGGAGAAAGATTTTGGGGAGAAGATCTATTCAAATGCAGGGATGAAATCAATCCCAAAAAAAAAAATAATAATAATAAAATTAGCATTTGAAATATACATAAATAGTAATGACAGCAATTATCCCCATCCAGTTCTTAAATAAGTTCAGTAAACCTAGGATCAAAAGTAGTATTTTCACGACAGTTTACTTTTCTAAAACTCCATGTTCAGAAGACCAAGGTCGAGTAGGACATACACTTCTACATATTTATGAGCCTCGTGTTATCCTACTTGACACACTACTCTTAACAACAATGCCCTACAGTACAGAAGGATATTGACTCGTAGCACATCATCACATAGAAGATATGCAAACAGAACCTCTGAACTAAAAGATACCTACCTGTGGAGATGAAAACAGGATTATGTGCTTGAAATTGTTCAACGTCTTTTGCTGAAAAAGGAAAAAAAAATTATTATAGATAATGCAAATAGAGAATCCTGGAAATTCTCACCAGACTGATCATAGTTGCAGAAGCAATTTCATTTCTAAGAATTCAATAAAATCATAATTATCAATGTAGTAGTCCATTGACATGCTAATTAATTATATCGTTATATTATTTTATATTTAACCAGAAGTTCATACTTCAACACGTTTCCAGCCTACCACATGAATATTAGGAACTGTGATCAATGTTAAACCCTCCTGCCCTAGCAGCAAAAGTTAAAAGCAACACAGAAGCCGGTAGAGTTCTTCGCGTATAGGGGAAAAAAATAATAAAATAAAAAATAAAAAGAAGAAGAAGAAACTTCACCCGAAAAATTAATTTAAAGGGAAAAAAAATTGACCATTCAAGTGCAAGTAAAAAAGACTAAAATATCTTTTCTATTTTCTTTTTTTCTTCTTCCTCTCTCCATTAAACACTAATTTTTCTGGATTTCATATAATTTTCTATATGAAAAAGAAAAATAAAACAACAGGTAGATGCATGAATAAAGAAATAAGAACCCAGCCTCATCCCTCCAACAGAGCAAGTAGGAAAGAGAGAGAACATTAAGAACAATGAGAGTACCTTACACAATTTGTAGAAGAACGTATTTTGTAGATCCGGATCGTCAGTAAAAGTCAGCTGATGAATACATTGTGTGCCCTTGAACTTCTTCAAAAGCCACAGGCCAGAGTTAAACAACGAGTTTGAACTGTAAAGATAACCCAAGTGTGGACCCGATATCGAAACATAAGTATACAGATGACGATGATATGGCTCCATAATGCTTTCTACAAATTGCAAACAAAATATATTATATTTACAAACTTAAACTAAATCATTGAGAAACACCAAAATTCAACATATTATATACTTAAACTGAATCAATAAAAAAGAATTTTGCCACCTACCCGCTAATGCTGTCCTTATAATTACATTTCCGATGGAGTGTCCCACAAAACTAATCTTAATATCTCGCAAACTCCCATATCTTGAAGCTTTATCCATTTTCTTTTTAACAAAAGAAATCACCTCTTGCGCCAGCCTCAGTCCCATTTCTCTGAAGTCTCCAGAAGTTTTCTCTTCATTTACTTCAGACATAAGAAATTCTATTTTGGGATCTATTAAAAGCCATTGGTTCCGAACAAGTCGTAGATCAAGGTGGTGACCCTACAAATTTGTCAAAAAAACGATAAAAGACAACACATGCCAAACTATGCTAAAAACTATATAAAACAAAGGAAAAAAGGGGCATAAGCAATACACTCCAGGAATATATTCCTTAATATCAAGCTTAGTTAACAAAAATTGTTCGTACAACATATTTCTTCATTGGATGAGGAAAAAAAAATTGCTGTGTTGGAATTTATATTTGATGTAACTATGAGTAACTACTTTAGTTAACTTTGAGTTAGTTAGTTAGTTAGATAGTTAAGTTGTTAGTTCTTCCCATATCCCTAGGATATT